GAGAGACAGACAGACAGACAGACAGACAGACAGACAGAGAGTAAAACAACAAATGAGACAGACAGAGAGACAGACAGAGAGACAGACAGAGAGACAGAGAGTAAAACAACAACATGTTTAAATGTTTCCAGGGACACTCACCAGCCAGCATGCAAAAACATGTCTAAGTACTAAGGTTAAAAGCCGAGGTTTAGATACACGTCTTCTGTAGAAAATGTGAAAGCCGCACATTTTCTGCAGAAGACGTGTATCTAAACCTCTGCTTTTAACCTTAATCAGTGTGCGCGCACACACGCACTATATCCATTTACTCACTCTGCTATTTCCATATAACCGCAAGAGGCTGCAACATGAAGAGGCGTCCATCCCTCATTATCAGCCTGATTCACATTGGCACCATGATTTATTAGGAACTCTACCACCTCCAGGTTTTCATCTATACATGCCTAGAAAAGAAAAAAACATCAAAATTACAACAAGCTTCATGATCAGAATGCACACAAAAAAGAAATTGTCAGCAAAATGGACAGCTGTGCAGTTAGAGATACAACCTACAAATCAGACATCTGCTACTAAAAATTAAAAATCTAATCTTCCAACTATTAAAGTTTCATGAAACCGTTGGTAATATTTGAGCAGCTATATACAAGCCAATAAAAGAAAGCAGCAGAAGATCTGAACTTCAATGGCCAGATCAGCCAAAGGTTACGGAATACCGTGAGAAGAACTTCTTTGTCATGCTTTTCTATCCTTACCACAGATGTTGTAACACTTAATACTTGCAATCTCTGTACACACCTTTGTGTCATTACTCAAAACTAGACTACTTTTTAATTTTAAAGCAAAATACTACTTCTAAAACATCTGTAACAGCCTAACTGGTACATCATGGTAAAGGTGACCATGAACACAACTATCCCTCACCAACCACACACTTTCCACAATGCAGGGCTTGGTGTCTGAGTAACCCACTGCTAGGTCAGAAAACTGTAACAGTTGCATTGGAGGGGTAGTTCATTAGGAGACACAGTAGACCACTGGATATCTGCTAAAGCCTTTACACGCCTGCCTTTACACGCATATGAACTTTAATGGCATCCCAGACTTAGTCCGTAGGGTTCAATATTGAGTTGGCCCACCCATTGCAGCTACAACAGCTTCAACTCTTCTGGGAAGGATGTCCACAAGGTGTAGGAGTGTGTCTATGGGAATGTTTGACCATTCTTCCAGAAGCGCATTTGTGAGGTCAGGTACTGATGTTGGACAACAAGGCCTGGCTCGCAGTCTCTGCTCTAATACATCTCAAAAGGTGTTCCATCAGGTTGAGGGCAGGATTCTGTACAGGCCAGTCAAATTCCTTAACCATAAACCCGCTCATCCATGTCTTTATGGACATTGTTTTGTGCACTGGTGCGCAGTCATGTTGGAACAGGAAGGAGCCATCCCCAAACTGCTCCCACAAAGTTGGGCGCATTAAATTTTCCAAAATGTCTTGGAATGCTGATGCCTTAGGAGTTCCCTTCACTGGAACTAAAGGACCAAGCTCAACCCCTGAAAAACAAACCCACACCATAATCCCCCTCCAACAAACTTTACATTTGCCACAGTGCGGTCAGGCAAGTATCGGGTTATCGGGTGGGAAAGAAAGATCTTTTCTTCAGAAACCTACTAGTGTATGGCCAGCTTTAGACTGGAGACAGGTAAATTTTAAAAAAAAAAACAGAACAGAAAACAGGAATGCTTCAATCCAGTTATGTGCAAACACACTGCAAAATGTATTTATGTGGGCAGTAAGTTTAACCACTTCATGACTGAGCTTGCTTTTAGTTTCTGTTTGTAAATGACTGAAGCACTTTTGACATTTTTGCTGTGGGATCATTCCACGTCAGTAATATACTTTCTTGCAAAGTGCACCCACACATATTATATATACATTCATTTGTCCTTTATTTGGAAAAACCTCAAATCCCTAGGATTTTTAAAATGTGTCTGTACTACTCGGCCTAAAACTAAAACCTAACATTTAAATCTTTTTTCTCTAAAAGCTAAAAGCTTAAAGTGGTCACCTGGCATACAATGTCACTGTCACTAAATGTCACACTTGACAGCGATGTACTTTGAACATCACTGTCATGAGGGGGTTAAAAAATAAAAATTAGCCCCTATTTTTTTAAACATTTTTTAAATTTTTATGTTATTTATTTAATTATATCAAGGAGTCATTGTGAATTAATATCACTATTAGTGCTTGATTAATTAATTAATTTTTGGTTATTATTAGGCTGCTTCAAACTTAAGAACAGCCAATAACAACATTAGTGACACTGATCCTGCAGCATTTCAGGATCAGCTGTCGCTAAAGGTTTTCTGATCGTTCCAACAACAATTAGAAAACTGAAACATTCTTCCAGGAATAGATTTTTCTATTGCTGAAAGTTTTTTGTTAAAAAGCCGATATTATGCTACCACACAGGATTATTATTCCCTGTGTGATAGCAATACAATTGTTTTTTTTTTATAGTTACAATGAAAAAGTAAAAACTAATAATTAAAAATGTAACTAAATAAAAAGGCGATTAAGGAAAAAATAAAAACAAAATGAAAATTTTTTACAAAGTAAATAAAAAATGCCAGGCAGATTGCGCGTTTTCCTGCTGCAATACCGCCTGGGCAATCCCACATGATCACGGTTGAAAACACTGCGCGGTGTATGTCGTGAAAATAGGTACATCTACCTTTTTTTAAGCAATTGCCACCCAGATGTAACCCCATACATGCGGATGCAACCGCTGTATGCCACCGCACACGATCGCACGTCCTGGGAATCCCTAAGTCGCTCGCAAAATTCAAGCACTCGTTGGTCAACGCAGTCACCTGACAGCACTGACCAATGAGAAGTGCTTCTTAGCACTGCTAAATACGGTTTTGGTTAACATTATTTTTTTTTGTATCAGGACAAGTAGATTGTCATGAGGGACAAGTAGATTCGGCCCCCGCTTTAGTCCTTAGACAAGTAGTTTTTTCAAAAATGTCCACACCCCTGATTATATACAGTGCAATGCAGAATACCAGCAGCTACAGAGGACTACAAATCCCGGCAATAGTACATTATAGTGTAATACTATTGCTGCGATTTGTTGCATTTCTATATAGCTGCTGGTATTCTGCATTGCGCCGCTGTATAATGTACTATATTGCACACCACACTTTTTTTACTTCCACCGCTCCAAGCTTGTGCCCGTGATGGACTACAAACTCAATACAAACTAATAGTCCATCACAGGAGCCTTTTTTTTTTTATCCGATGTGAGCAGGCGATCGGTAGCTGGCACATATGCCCCCTAGGAATAAGCAGACTCTTGGGCACAGATACCAAAAACGGTGCAGTGTTTATTAGTGATATTAACAAGAGCATTCACAGGTGCTGTATAGTGGTTCACAAGAAATCAACAAAATAAAACCTATCTGTATCCTGGCACTAACTTCACAAACAAAAGATATAGCTCCTAACAGGCTGAGCAGGCCTACCGCTTCTCAGCCTCCTCAGAAACTGTTTGTGAGTTTTCACCAACCTCACAGCTCTCTCAGACAGCGGAAAATTGTATACTTACCTATCGGTAATTTTCCTTTCCTGACGCCAATCCATGGCAGCATACAATGGGGGCAAAGCCATATCCCTTGTATGCTGCCATGGATTGGCGTCAGGGAAGGACTTGTTTGATTCCCAGGCAGAGAGCTCCGAGTACAGGTTCCAGGTGAGACTAAATTGCCACTGGAGAGAGGAGTAAGCCCTGCACTGGAGCCCGGATCAGCAATTCCTAAATGTATAGGAGAGGAACCTGGGAGACCTATAAACTCCAAACAGAACTTTCCTAGGCTCCCTCTGGGATGCTCTGCTACAACGATTAATCGAACTTAATAATAGGCTAACTAATCGAGTTTGAAAATAATCGTTAGCTGCAGCCCTATATTTAACCATGCTAACAAGTATTTCTCATTGGTCAGCGTGTCCTGGCCAATCAGTGCTTGAACTCCGAGCGAGCGAAATTAAAAATGCATAGCGTTGGACGGCAGTATGGGGTACAGATTGTACACCCATACTGGCGGAGGGAAAGGACTGTTTGCCAAAAAGTAAGTTTAGCGGGGGGTGGGGGTGAGACGGGGCAAGATTTGAAAGGGTAATTCCATGTTCACAAATTACCTGGGAAAGTGAACTTACCGTTTAATGTACACAATGTCCTACGCATGCATTTGCATGCAGATGGTGGGGGTGGCAGGGTGGTTTTAATTTTTTTTACTTTATCACTTATTTACTCTTGTTTTACTTTACCACTTTTATTTTTTAAATTCTATATTTAATTTTTTATAACTATAATTTTTATAAATGTTTTTCACTTAATTTTATTCCCATCACACAGGAGCTTCCAAGCCCCTATGTCATAGTGGAGGTAACAGGTTCTCTTTATGGAACCTGCCCTCCAACACAGAACAGATCTTCTTTGCAGCTTCTGACAGCCGAGAAAGGTGGCGCTGCGATTACAGCTCTCTGATCTCACTGATCACACAGAGCAGAGCGGAGAACGGACGTTCTTTGCTTTGCTCCCTGCTCTCCATCCTGAGCTCATTTGCCATGGCCTGGGTCCCCCAGGGACAGAATCAGGCTGATACAAGTGATCTGATCACTTGCATAAAAAGGTGCATCGGCTCCCCTCTGTACATTTAGCCCTGCTTGCCTGAAGCAGGGCTAAATGTAGAAAAAAATTCCCCTCCGGCACCCATAACTGCATGTTTGGGACATCGGGCGAAAGAAATTCTGCATACCCGATAACAAAATATGTAGAAAGGAAATGAAGACTGCAAAGATTCAAAATGAACAAGTAGCAAAAGGGTGCAGAACAAACTTTAAAAGCAGAACTATGGCCTAACCCTTTTTAGCCATAGTTCTCTTAAGGATCATACGAAGACATACTAATGTCCTCTGGTGACCCAAAACTCAGTATATAGCAGGCTATGACCCGCTATATGGTGACAGCGCCGCTCTGCAGCCAGGATGGATCCTGACAATACTGTTGATATCCACCCCCTAGCTGATTGACATCTGGCTCTGCCTCTCTAGAAGCAGAGTCAGCTGTGCCCACCCCTCTCCTGTCCGTTCCTCCAGACTGCACTAGAGAAATGGAGAGGCTAGGGGGGAATCCCTGTGTGGGGCGATGACTGTCACCGCTCTCTGCAGGAAGAGGATCAATAAGTTCGCCGACTTCCTGATCAATAGAGCCGACCTTTGAAAACTTCAGTGTCACAAGTCGGCTTGAATTATGGGGATGGGTGTTTTTCACTCACCCCATAATTCTCATTTAATAGCAAAAAGGTCAGGTCTGAGCATGTAGGCCCCTTACAAGATAACTCAAGGGTAGGTAACTTGGGAGAAAGAGAAGGCAAAAACTCA